TATATATATATATATATATATATATATATATCAAAGAAGTAACCGCATTGGACCAACCGAAGTGTAATGACTCGTTGTGGAAAATCGTGACGGTTAGGCCCCGTACTCCTATAATCAAGCAAACGGTGCACGCCAGTCACATACAGTGAGAGGTTTTACAGACACATTCGGTACCACGCCTTGTTTAGACCTCCTCTTGCAAACGGTTTAACTATACCTCTCTCTTTCTTCGCTTTCCAGAGAAAGGAAGAATCGATTATACGATCGATATATAAACATAGTAAATAATAAATCTCAATAAAAGTATATAATAGTTGTCGTCGTCGTTATTCCTTCGTTTAATTAATTTTATTTTTGTTTTTATTTCTAACAAATTTCCTTACATCGGATAAGTTAGTTGATAAAAAGGAAGTAACGCGTAACACGAAACCAGGAAATCTTCGAGTACTTTTCGATATATCGAAGTGAACGGTGTTCGAGATGTTTAAAAGAATCTTTTTAACGATATCCTTATAAAGGATGCTGTAGATCTCATGTAACATTCGAGAACTTACCTAGATCTTATTTCTCATTTCTTTTTCTTTTTTTACTTTGAAATCATTAGGAATGCGAACGTAAGAGAAACACGAATAGAAATAGTAGTATTGGTGTTAGAAACCTTTCGATTTTATCGACCACTTATGTCTTCATGTTAGCGGAAGTTGTATTAATATGTCGACTAACAAAGCACCAACAAATTATTTACTTTTAATAGAGATTCGTAAAAGTGTAAAAGTTAATTAACCACGTTGGAATATCTTTTTACATCTTCTTCTTTTTCTTCTTTTTCTCCTATTTATGTTAACCGTTGTAAAATGAATTTTATTTATTTCTAATGTATAATAATTATCGAGAACGTTTAAGACTCGTCAGTTACAGGCATAATCGATCGTTAAATTATACTAACGTGTAAATTTGAATCAGGTGAGGTGAGGTGGGGTCGGGTGGGCTTTAACAGGTACGAAAGTGAAATCTGGAATGTACGTGGGGTATATACGTGAGTTGAATAATATTTAAAGTAATGGCCTCTTCTTCTTCTTCTTCTTCTTCTTTAATGATTACCTTTGTACGATACAAGTGGTGTTAGGAAATACATGATTTGGATTGCGCGTTTATTTTCTTCATACAATGGGCGTGCGTAAAAGATCTATGATTGTCATGATTAATCTTCGACCTTGCAAATCGAGTTTCTTCTTTAAAAAAAGAATGTTCGTAATCCTTTTTTCAATAAAAAAGAAAATAAAGATAAAAAATCCTTCGTTTGAATTAAAAACTAGAAAAAATAATAATTGTATATTTTCAAGGCAACAATCGTGTTGTCGATGAGATATAATATTATTGAAATGAAAATAAAATTCAAGATTATTAAGATAAAGTTGTAGAAGGATGAGAAAGTTGTGGAGGATCAATGACCCTGAAAGAAACATAGTTCCAATGCAGAAAGAGTCAAGGGTTGAAATTCAAGGCCAGGCTATCCTTACCGACGTGCATAAAGTGAACGAGACTATTATCGAGTCTTAAAGGAATCTAAAAAGGGAAAACAAGTAACTCCTTTTAAAACCCCCTGAGAAAGAGAAGAGCGGTTTGTACTTTCGAATGAAATTTATGTTCGATGGTGCGTGAACGTTTCAAAGTTATACCGTTGAAGTTTTACTTGTACAAAAAAAAAATAAATAAAAAATAAAAAAGGGGGAGAGAAGGAAAAGGAAAGAAGGAAGGTAGAGAATTTCTATGATAAGTTTTAACTTTCAAGTTTAATATCTCACATAGTGATCTTTTTATTTCCCTTTCTTTCTTTCTCTTCGAGTGTCGTTCACAAAGACAAAAGATTCGAAAGTAAGAAGAAACGCGAGCTGCCTTCGACGTTCGTGGAAAAGCAAAAGTTAGACTTACGAGGATATGAAAAGTGAATCTAGAAAAAGGAACGAGAAATTGACCGTTTCGAATCTAACTATTCAAGAACAAAGTTGGCATAGTTACATTTCGTTCGATTTACTATCGAGAAATGAGAATGAATGTGAGTCATTTCGGATAGATAATTGAAAGTATTCGTATTGGTATGCCGAACGAATACTACGATGCCCTTGTACGATCAAAACATGTATAATAATACAAACAGATGCACGTACACACAAGTATACACGAAATCTTATTTACGTATTGCGTATGCAACTATAGTAACCGTACGATTTTCTAGGAATGACATTGCATTGCATGTTTTACTCTCACTTTATTTTCTTTCGAGAAAATATCAACGATTGAGTTTATCGCGATGAACAAATTGTTCGCATTTAAGAAGATTAGTATGATTAGAAACGTGTTTTTAATAGAACGTGTTATATTTGAATTTTATCGATATAATTATATAATTAAATATATTTTTATATTATTCAATGCGTTTGTTGGAAAGTTCTTGTCAATTAATCAATATTTTCAAATAATTACTTTTTTCATTTATATTAAATAAAAATAAATATTAACAAAAGAGAGAGAGAGAGAGAGAGAGAGAGAGAGAGAGAGAGAAAATAAACGTGAAGTGAATCAACAAAAGGAC